ACGATTAATTAAAACGCAAGGACAGAGATTATCACACGCGGACATAATAATGTTATACAAAATCAGCAGAGGGTGGAGACAATTCAAATGAAGCTTGTACCTTGCCATGTTACCGCTATAATCTCTAGCGATCTTCCTTCTTGAGTCTTCCAAAGCCTAAGTGAACAAGCAATTGAGTCTGAACATAGCAATATAGGACCGTGAATATGAAAGCTGGGAAAGCTAACCACAGATGACTATGATCAACGGCGGCTGATGTTGGGAGCCCCCTGACCGTGCAAGTATGACCAAATGAATAATTAAAGGGCTGTTTCTATTGGTCAGTCATAGTTCCGGGCTCATGCCAGTTGTTCGAAGTTTTAAAGGAACTGGTTCACGATAATGCGTATGTGTGAGTTCTGACAGTAGCTGATTGTTTTTAAACCAATCGGAAGCGAGTTAGATGGACGCAAGTAAATTTACAAAATTCAAATTCATTGTTGGCGACGCGAGAGTATTTCCGGGCATTTGGTTTGATTCTATACATCCCCATAATTCAAGTTTATTTTTTGCAACTCCTCAGATATATGTTGCAGCCGATAAGAATAAGATTTACAGCCCTGTCCTGCTTTGAAACAAACATTTACCAACGTGTATTTTTACGAGGTCGTACCCACGCTAACNTAAATTTACAAAATTCAAATTCATTGTTGGCGACGCGAGAGTATTTCCGGGCATTTGGTTTGATTCTATACATCCCCATAATTCAAGTTTATTTTTTGCAACTCCTCAGATATATGTTGCAGCCGATAAGAATAAGATTTACAGCCCTGTCCTGCTTTGAAACAAACATTTACCAACGTGTATTTTTACGAGGTCGTACCCACGCTAACAAAGCAGTCACCGATCGGCAAACAAAATTTGTAAACAAACATTTTATTACTGTTCTCTCAGTTCGCCTTATATAAACCCAGAAATACCTACAAATAGCGCCTTACCGGTGACAAAAACACTCAACGTATGAGTATAAAGATTATCCTTAATTGAGTATAAATTTCAATTGAACAAATTCATTCGCGTCGCATCGGGTCAGTGTTCCGCAAAACAAATGTTATCGAGTAGAACACATAAAGAAACTAGATTATAAACAGAATATTCAGGCAATAATTTATTTTAAAAACATCAATTCTTAATCATATACGATCATACAGCAAACGGATACAAGGAACATTTCAAGTGTATCAGATCGGTGAAGATCGCGCGGCCTGTTGCGGTATAACTACAGGTCGGGGTCAAAAATCAAATCAAAGTTGAACGAACTCATGCCTTTAACCACTTTCCAAGAGTCGTGTATTCTTTTCGTAAGCCACACACTACTCCTATACCAGATCGATCGGCTAAGCTTCTCTATCTTCAAAGACTCTTGAGAACGTCCTGTTGCCGGAAGGCCACGATACTCTTCTGAACCTCCATGATCAAAACATCTTCTTAAAACGTAACCAGTCAAACAACACAGCCACACGTTAGTCACCACTACCGAAGTATAACGAGGCTAGCCAAAGCGACGGATGTGGGAATAAAACGAATGATTTTACCGGTAATGGCGATTTCGAATTTAGTGTTGACCCAACAAATTTATTCTGAAGAGACAAACGGCGCGCATGCGCATAACCGTGATCGCGTCCCTTTAATCTCGGTGGGGTGTTTAGTGCTAGCGCTAATTAAAGCGTTTCATCTACCTCTTTCACATACCTTGTTTAGAGCTAGCGCTTTGCAGTCCTTTCAACTGCTGTAAATGCAAATGTTGGTGAAAACAGTTGTGTAGTTATAGTGAGTTATGAAAAGCTGTTATGAAACTTTAAAAGGGTTTAAGTAAATAGTTTTAACCAGTACCTGTTAAAGGTGTGTCTAGTTCCTTAAAGCGTCTCATCTACCACCTTTTGTGCAATTCTAATAACCGTATTTAATTTCAGGTTGAAGAAAGAATGTCCCTCTGCAAAGCGCCCTACATCTTCTGTGCTCTCTTAAGTTTTTCCATGCATTAAAAGTTGCATTGAAGATGACGAGTGTCTGAGTTGCAACTACGACTTGGTATCTCAGTAATGGTACAAAAGCGTTGTTTGCACATGAATTTGTAGACAAGGACTATTCCATTTACACGGAGATGTTTTGACAGACCTTTATGAGTACTTTACCTCTATTTTTCGACATTAAAAGACCAACTTATGTTTCAAGGAAGAGATAAGAACAAACTTTGTTAGTATTAAAAAAAGCACTTTTGGATATTTAATCAAGGTGGCTCACAACTGCTTTCCACAGTCTCTAAAAGATGGGACTGCGGCAACATCAATGAATTATTTTTACACAACACTGTTTCATTTTAATCTACAATAAAGGTACTAAATAAATGCCTATATTTTTTGTAAATCATTTTAAAAATTAACGCTTCAAACAAAAGATGCTGAGGCTTTTCTCTGTCCCTTATTAGAGAGATAAAGATTCACGTTTACGCCAAACGGCAAACGTCAGATTCAAGTTGAGAATTTCTCAGAAAAGAAAATAATCAGATAGAAACTGCCCAGAATAATTCATATGTATAAAACTGGCGTGAAACTACTTAGTTTTTTAAGTTGAAGTAATAAACAGTTAACGACAATTAAGGGAAAAACTTGGTCACGTGGTACAAATTCACGTTTGCCGTTTGGCGTAAACATGAATCTTAATCTCTCTATCAATGATAACCACAATGAGGTTTCTAGTTATTATTTATTATAGATTTATAAGGGAAATGGGATCATTTGTTTCAATTGTCAGCAAATTCAGGATATTTAGTATTCACCAAATCAGTAAATAGCAATTTTCGCGCGTTTTGATTGGCTCCCCTAACTCGGAATATCCTTGGCTATTCACTGTTTTGCGACCGGAGCCAAGATGGCGTTTCGTTTCGAGACATTTTTCAAAGACGAAATTTGAGCGATGAATGATGTCGCCATACAAACAAATACCAAGAAAGCGACGAACTTTGGCTTGTTATTGTTTACTGGTAGGCAGAAAATTATTCTCATGCTGAATTTGCAACAAAATCGTAAAAATGCACTTGGCAAAATGCTCGAAATTTTTGTAAATTGTAAACAAAGTACCCACTAAGTGACGTTTTTAATTTACAAATGAGAAAAGTTACTTTTTACAGTTTCATCCTACTGATTTGGTAAATACTAAAACAACTATCCCCCTCAGGGTCGGTGAACAGCGCTAGATATATACCTTGACGCTTCGCGTTCCGGGTATTTCAACCACTATTCTTCGGGAGATATTCTTCAAATAGCTGTTATCATACGTTGAGTGTATTTTTGCAGGCTCCTGATTTTTGCTGTTCTTGCTATGTTCTAGGCAGAAGCTCGGTCAATGTCTCCTTAACCTTGAACGTAAGTAATTTTTAGCTATTTTCTCCAGCTCTTCCAATATCCGAACTCAAGCAGCCTCTTTCCCTTGACCCTTTCTTTCGGCCATAACCTGTTCTAATTACGCTATTTTAATGGATATCGCAAACGTCTTCCTAACTTGGTCAAGGGTAGCTGGGTATGAAGAATTAACCCGTGGAATTGGAGCCAATCAGCAAAGGAGAAATTGTTTTGAATGAGTGATAATCACGCTTGACCTCAATAACAATAAAATAACAGAAATAAAATACAAGTAAAATAACAGAAAGCATATGATATCTCACTGACTTGGTCAGCGCAGACTGGCCATGAAGAGTTAGCCCGGGATGCAAACCAGTAAAAAACGAAGAACGGTTTTGAATGAATAATAAATACTTGTATTTTTAAAAAATATAAAGATGCCGAGTCCTTCTCCCCAAACTGGAGCATTTTCAGCAACTGACCAGGTCATTAATTGGCTCTACTCAAAGCCTGGGTCGCTAATAGAAGAGCCACTGTTTGTATTTCCTCAGAGTTTTTCACTGCTTTCCATCTTTTTGATTTATCCAGTAAATCAAGTCTTTAATGGCTTTTATCCAACTATCAAGAGAAAACCATATTAAGCGTTTTCAGAGGTTTCTACTTGTCTAAAGTTATAACAAATATCCCAAAATCCGTTATCGAAGCTGGATGATTTAGCAGTAAAAAGAAGTCATGTATGCCTGAGCGTATAGTCTAGGGGCGGATCTGGGGGAGGGGGGTGCAGGGAGTGCGCACCCCCCTCCCGCCATTCCTTAGTGGTACATCCCCTCCACTGGCGGATCCAGGGTAGGGGCCCAGGGTGCCCGCTCCCCCCCGCCCCCCACCCGTTAACCGCAAAAACGGATTCAAGTTCCACCGCCCCTCCACACCCCACCCCTCTCACCCCAGGTCCCACCATCTACACAACCCAGCCACCCACACCACATCACCCTCTCGCAC